AGATCACGGAGGGGTGCATCGTTTGCAACGTGGAGGCGAAGGTCGGCGACCGCGGCACCATCGCACGCGCCTCGGGCGACTACTGCATCATCATCTCCCACAACCACGAAACGGGCCGCACACGTCTGAAGCTGCCAAGCGGGCAGAAGAAGACTGTCCCCAGCACCTGCCGCGCCATGATTGGCATCATTGCCGGTGGTGGCCGTATTGAGAAGCCCGTTCTGAAGGCTGGTAACTCCTTCTACCGTTTCCGTGGAAAACGCAACTGCTGGCCCAAGGTGCGTGGTGTTGCCCGCAACCCCGTGGAGCACCCGCACGGTGGTGGTAACCATCAGCACATTGGTCACCCGTCGACTGTTTCGCGTCACGCACCGCCAGGCCAGAAGGTCGGCCTCATTGCCGCTCGCCGCACAGGACGTATCCGTGGTAGCAGGGCTGTTAAGGGCGCATGGCACCCAGAGGAGTAAATGCCGGAACAGCGGCAGCGAAGGCACCGGGAACAACGCTAAATCTATCTACATACACGTCTACGCATGCGAATGCTTGCGTGTGTGTAGTGTGTCTGTGATCCCAGCTCACTTTTTGATTGATTTATGATTTGTCATGTTTTTTTATTGAAACCCTGCTGTCAGTTGCACCGGCCGGCCGGTGTGTGTGTGTGTGTGCGTGCTCGCGCCACTGTGGGTTTTGCTGCCCCTGCCCCTCTTGCTGTTTCTGTCCCTACGCATGCGTGTCGGTGCTTGCATTGCCGTTTTTTTTTCTTTTCCACCCCCTCGTTGTTGTTGTTCTTTCCTCCCACATTCCCCTTCCCCTCAATGTGCCGGCGCCGCCGCGTTACTTCACGCAGCGCAACTGCAGAGGTCGGTTGACGGTGGGTGTGGGAAGCACGCACATAGTGGTGACGAAAAAATTGAGGGCGATACACAAAAAAATAGTAATAAAAAGAAATTGGTCGACTGAATTGCCTGTGTGGGGCGTCTACACAAGCAGGCAGGGGAGGCAGGAACGAACTGTAAATCAACGCACACGCAGGAAACCAGCACGCAGCGCACGACACAAGGAAATTGAAAAACGAAGTGGACAAAGAAAGAAAGAAAGAAAAAAAAAAAGAGTGGGGTGGGGTGGGGGGACAAAAAGGAAGGGAGGAAGAAGTAAAAGACACTCAGGCGGATAGAGTCTCTTTTCTGTGCCATTGCTGCTAAGGAGGGGTGTACTAGCGCACACTCAAGGTGCCGTGTTTGATAGCAGCCATCGCCCTTGCACCTCCCACACACACACACACACACACACATACATATATATACATATATATATATCTACATATATATATATATTAGCTGTATCTATTTGCTACACGGCTACACGGCTACCCGGGGCCGAGGAAGAGAGAGGGGGTAATAAAGTTTTTGGGAAGAAGCAACAGTTTGCGTGCTTGGAAACGTTACACGTGCGGGGAGGGGCAACATATACGGCGGCAAAAAGCAGCGGGAATGGTCCGCCGATCCGGTATGGGTGGAGAAACATTGCCACTGCCTGGGCTAGCAGGGAAAAGGAAACCCAGCGGCAAAAGGCGGCAGGAATCACACCTTTCTTCTAGGAGAAAGAAGCGCGGTTACTTGCTTCCAAGAATGGAGCCTCCTCTACAGGAGGCCGAAAATGATTTTGACGAGGCAAACGCGCCCTTGGCTACATCTCTCTCACCGTTAGTGCAGGCGCGACACTATGCGAGACTTGCAAACGGCAGTACCATGTTTCTCCGCGCTCTGTCGCTTAGCCAGAGCAACATGGGCCTATCAGAGGTCCTGGAGGGTGAGTTGTGGTACGTGACCTCTTCCACCAGTCTAGGGAGGGCCAGGAGTGCAGCAATGCAATGGGTGACGTGCGAAGACCACCGCCTGACGGTTTTTTCCAGCTGGAGCCCACAGGGCCGTATAATTGACACGATGCACTTTGATGGTGTTCGCGTCATCTTCACTTTTCACCACAATCACAGGCACATAAATTCCAGACGTCATGCGCCAATGACGCGATTGACGCGGTGCCACGAGAACAATCCCTCCATGCAGTTAAACATCGGCAATGAGTGCGGGGCAAGACAGCCGAAGCGCTAGCATGCCGGCACGGAGAACATTTCGCCACTTCAACAATTGCGGTGGAAAGATGATGCCGCGGTACTACTACTTTGGCATTGAGCTTAGTGAGCGTAGGGATGCCTATGGAGTCTCTCAGTCACGGAAGCGGCGCCTCTTTATCTTTGCAACGGACGTTAAACGTGACCAACAGACGTGGTTAGGGTACTTTGTGGCGCAGGGGGAGGCAACGACCCGTTCCGCCTCGGGAATAAGCAACGCCCGCAGTAATATTTCAATGCGGTTTGATATGCTACACGACCGCTCCAACACACACTCCGTCCCGAGGGCCGCGGAGGACAAGGAGAGGCATCATAACTCCCATCTGTCGTACGATCCGCTCGACGTCACCGCCACGAGACGCCCTAGGATGGATATCTTCCCGCTCCTTATGGACGACGACGACGACGACGACGATGACGACCACAACTCGTACGAATTGCGCACCTCACCGACCGACTTCTTTGGCGAGAAAGCGATGACGGAGTATTTCTTTACCCAACTCGACAAAGAGGAGGCTCGCTGGCGTCACGCCATTGTAGCGGACGAGGATCATACTAGACAGCAGCTGTGCGCCATCACAGAGGTGCTTCTTGACGCTGCCGCAGACAACATCACTTCATTTGCCGCTGCATCCACGCAGGTAGCTACGCAGGGCGGTTGCGTTGCTCGTAGCGTGTGCAACATCACTGCAGATCCACCCTGCAGCGAAGCGACGGCATCCGCGCAAAGACTATGCATTGAGCCTGTATCTGTCATCAGACAGATACTACACCAAACTTTAACTGCAAAGAACCACCACATACTCGCCTTACACAGAAAGCTAGATGAGCTGCAAGAACGGTTGGTCATTGGGGGGAAACAAAATCAAGAATTGGAAAACAGTACTTATACAAATACAAGTAGCACACAATTAGAGATAAATCTTACAGCCGAACGCGAAAACAGATCTGCCAATTTACAAGGAACAAAAAACGTCGAACCAAAACCCGAAAATATCCGACAACGCGCAAGAACTGAAACCCGTTCCTTGCAAGAACCAAGATGCACGCCTCGCATTAGAAGAGCAGAACGAGCAGCGGCGCCGCGAGATGGAGGGCCGGCTGGCGGAGCTTGGCGCCGAGAGGGACGCCCTGGCGGAGCGTGTGCGTGACTTGGGAAGCAGCTGGACGGCGCGAACGCCCTTTTGACGATGCTGCGCGCGCGTGCGACGCACTGGGCGGGGCGGTTGGACTCTCGGCGCCCGAGGGTGACGGTGAAGTTGACGGCGCGCATGTCGCTGA